TTTTAGTTGAATCAGTTTTCTTCTTCCTTGTGGGTATTATTAATGGAGTGTATGTAAAAAGAGTGTCACCTAACTAAACCTAAATATAATTTCATTTAATTATTTATTTGCTGTATGTTTGCAAGCAATTACCATATTCGTAGTAACTGTTGCCCATAATTTTAGTATCTTAGTTCTAAAGTTTCTCTAAATAGTTTTTAGTCGAGTCGGCTTTCTTCTTCCTCGTGGGTATCATTAAAGAAGCTCATGTACAAAGAGTGTTACCTAAGTAGACGTAACTATAATTTCATTTAATTATTTATTTGCTGAATACCCGTAAGCAATCATCATATTCTTAGTATCTGTGGCCCATAATTTTAGTATCTTAGTTCTAAAGTTTCTCTAAATAGTTTTTAGTCGAGTCGGCTTTCTTCTTCCTTGTGGGTGTCATTAAAAAAGCTAATGTACAAAGAGTGTTACCTAAGTAGACGTAACTATAATTTCAATATTCTTAGTATCTGTGGCCCATATTTTTAGTTCTAAATTTCTCTAAGTAGTTTTGCATACTACATGCAACTTGTAACGCAACACAAAACGGGTTTGGCGCAAGGATTAAATTTTTTTTTTTTTGTAGAAAGAGATCCGTTGCACATAAAATACTTTTTAATTTAACAACGTACATCCAGTTTTAGAAATCTAATTCCCATTGTTACCAATGGTTACTATACATCCAAGGAATTTAAATTGCTCGATAACTTTTTTTATAAAAATTTCATTTACAATTGGATTATAAACGAATCCAGTGAGCATAATATATAGAAAAATATTTGAAATATGTCATTAGAAAACTTTAAGCTAAAATAATCTTCAGTAAAAATAAAAAGTTTTAAAATTTAGTAAACATTTCGGTTCTCATTTAAAAAACTGTATTTTATATAGCAAACCAGCTACTAATGTTAAGGTTTCCATTGAAAATTCGTTAAGTGAAATTTTCGCAAAATGACTTGCAGTTTCAATAACTTACAAACTCAATTAATATTTAGCAGTCTAAATAAAAAACCATTGTACTCCTGGGGTAAATCGGTGCGTTGTGGTTCTATAACACGTCTTACTGATGAAGATATCAATAAACCAGTGCTGCAATTATCTGCTGGTGACACGAAGAAAACCTTTATTACCATAAGCCTTAAAAAAAATGTGACCATAAACAATAAATTACCTATTTTCGTTTTGATTGTAAAAAATATGTATTCACCTTTCGCTTTTGATGTACAGGTAAATTCTTATTTTCACATTTTATATAATTACTTTGTTGAGGATATATTTTTCAAGGTTAAAGATGATAAGGATATGTGGCGTCGCTTTAGTTGTGGTACTACAACAGCTGAAACTCGCATTTCCCCATATACTTGTTTGCTGCCATTAAGCTTAGATCATGGTTGGAATTACATTCAAATAGATCTCGCCGATTTGATTAAAAAAAGTTATGGAACACAATATGCTGAAACCTTGCGTTTACAAATATATCCAAATTGTCGTATATATCGCATATACTTTGCTGATCAACTTTGTCCAATCCATCAATTGCCCGAAGAATTGACATTTATTCATCTTGAGAAAGATGAAACTTCATCAAAATCAATCGGTTAAATTTATTTATAGAACTTAGATGTTCATGGTGAAATTTTAGTAAACTTGAAAGTACAGTTTCGGAAATAAATTGAAAAACGTTTTAATATTGAAAATATTTATATGGAGGTTTTTCTTTAGAAATTTTCGTACCTAGCGACAATTTTTTCGTCAATTCTTTTTTTATTTTCCAGTTTTCGCGTTTTTTGTGCTGTCAATTTAAACTTTATTTATTTTAATTTATATTCAAAGTAAACAAAATAACAAAAAGCGTTTTGTACACTGATACATTTCAGTCACTATATTTCCTTTCTGATTCAATACACCGATTTGCACATCTTAAAAGCGAGAATCTGGAACTTCAGACTGTTGTAGAGTTTATCTTCGTCGATTTTTGTTATTCTTTGCTTTGTGGTTTTAAAAGTAAACGTAATTAAAATGTAGTTAAGATTACAATAACCAACACACTTCAAGGGCATATAAACTTCATCCTGGAGTGTTTCCAGAAATGGAAAATAAAAATCAACAACGAAAAAACAAACGCTCTGTTCATTACACGTAAGAGGGGACAGAACCCGTCGAGAGTGAGAGTGGAAGATATGGTAATAAACTGGGATAATAGCATTAAATATCTAGACATCACGGTGGACAAACGATTCACATGGCTTAAACATGTTCAACTGAAAAGAATTAGTTGTGTCAAATTTCTTCATCATCTCCAACCGCTATTCAAAAATTAAAATCTCAATGTTAAGAACAGGAAGCTGATATATAACCAAATAACTCGACCGTCACTTCTATATGGATGTGTAGCGTTCACTAAGGCCTCAAATATTACTACTGCAAGGCCTCAGCTGGAAATTGCACAAAGCCAGATTCAGAGAAAACTTTTCAAGGTGCTATTGTGCATTATGACTAATCACATCCTAAGGAACCTCAAGATTGATCCGACCAAAAAATACATAAAGGATAGAACGCTGAAACTATTTACGAAAACTGACAGGCTTACCAACAGCACGTTATCGAATCTCAGAATGATAACAGGCTACTCAGCGAGGTATGCAGATCTGAAGTCAGTTATTGTTTAGTCTGGTGAAATGATAAACAATAATCCAGTAAAGGCGTAGAGAGGTGTTATGGAGAAATCTCGCAGTTAGTAGAGAGTAAAAGTGCTCAATGCACTGACTTAACTAGCTTCAAGATAATAATATATATTTAGAATTATATATTAATATTTATAAGTTGCAAAATTTATTTTTTAATATGAAATAAGATATTAGGAGTGAAAAAAAAAATTCTATATATATTTTTCAACTACTTTGAACTTTAAAGTTTAAAGTTCTTCAAGTACTTTAGTTTGCACGTAATTTGATGAAGTTACAAAGGAAAATATGATAAAATGCCTCTGTTGCAATAAATTTGCAGTGTCATTTATCAACTTAACTGACAGTCAATTACTTTTCTATTCCGAATGAGATTGTCGATTTAAGCCCTTTTCATCTTATACGAGTAAGTGAATGTGCCTTGCTTTCTACATACTTTTAACCGCTTCCTAACTAAATCGAATATAGTGTGTTACACCAGAAAAAGGAAAAAAATTAACAGAAATGACACATTTTAGCCAAATCACTGTGATTTGCACTCAAAGTCAATTGAAAACGAGCAATTGAAATAAATTGAATGCTTGTGTGTTTTGCAATTGAAAAGAAGATAAAGTATCTGAATGGGGCAAGTGAACAATTCAATTAAAATGTTAAAGCCTAATCTTTATACAAAGTGATTGCAGTTATTAGACTGCAGTTAACATTGTATATTGTTGTCTTTAAAATCTTTAAATAGATGGCATTATGGTTTAATAATATATTTTACTCTATTTATTTTTGCTATTATATTTACATTGAGCTATATAATATCTATCGTATCATATATAGCAGTATCAACTTTATTGACCGTAATCTATATTTTATATTTATCTGATATGTTGAAATGCAAGAAGGAGCTAAAAATAAAAGCTAATGACATTTTCGATTGGTAAATTTGGGGTAACTTTTTTAATCGAGATTAACTTTTAGTGCAATTTTCATTTTCAATTGGTAAATCTCGAGCGAAATGTATACCACTGGAGATTAATGTATGACATTCGGGATTAATTTATAACACTCTAGGTAGATATTTTGCCAGAGTAGCAAGATTACCCTGAAATTGAAATAATGATTTCATTCGATATATGTATTTAAGAAATATATTAATATCTACTAACACAGCTACAAAAATTTTAGATTACTTTAAAAATGGTCGACTGGGCAATAGAGTTTGACAGATCTAGAATAAATAAATCTAAATATTGTCTAAATATCTAAATAATAATAAATTAAATAAATAAATAATCTAAATAAATCTAGATTGAATCCAGATTTATCAATTAAAAACGCCATAATAATAATACCACAATAGTTCTCAAAAAGTAATACATACTTTGTTGGAATATACTCTCTTCTTTCTATAAACTGTTATAATAAGAGGAGTATATTGACATTCAATTTTTCTTTTTTGACATTATATAAATTTTTAATATTATAAATATTTTAATATTATACTTTATATAATATTTATTTAAATATTATAAAAATAATACTTAATATAAATTGATAATTGACATTATATATAAGCGTGATTATTTTTTCAGGTTAAATTTTTGAAAAAAAAACAAAATAGTGTTGAAATTGACCAATTAATTAAAATTAATTAATTCAATTATTATACAGTTGGTTTATGATTTTATTCTAATATAAATACAGCAAGTGTATTAATTAACAAAACTTTCACGGCAAATTAACAAAACTCCAGAAAAATGTGCTAACATTAAACTCAATTACAGCTTTGGGTCAATTGGTTAAGAAGCGCTGACTCTGAGCTTCAAATTTGGCATGGCACGAGTTGTATTCCTGGTACTTGCAGTCTCAAAAAATCATTTACGAATAATTAAATACAATAATTATTTCTAAGACCACAGATGATGGGTATTAGGCAATAATATAAAAAAAAGAATTTTTGTTGTAGTTCACTACTTTTCGAAAACTCCTTTCAAAAAAATTAATTATAATAAATAAATATAATAATAAATAACTAAAATAAATGTAATATTTTAATTTAAAATGCTTTAATTGGAAATACTAAAAGTGACATTAAATACGATTAAATAACATCTTCAAATATATTTTTAAATTAATTAGCTGTGCACTTTACAACGTTACATTCACTACCTAATATTTGATGGAGTATTTTGTAGTACTATTTTTATAGCACAATTTCCTAATAAACTTAACTTTAGTATTTAACGACATAAATTTATGGAATAGTAATTAAGTACTTTATTGTATGCTATATTGCAGGTGCCTGTGTCATATCGGACAAAGCATCGATTAGTCTTGGTCTTATCAACTCCTATTTGCGTTTCAATCAAACAGGCTCTCCATATTTGCTGTATGAAAATGGGGCAGAATGTAATAAGTCCGACACAACAACCACAACATATTGGTCAACAAAAATTGAATTTGTATGTGCCAACAATGCAACCAAAGGCAAGGGTAGCTCTGGAAATATCAATAGTGCTGGCAGTGATGGTGCTAGTACCGCTGTGCTGGGTCCAAAAATAATTGAAAACTCCAACTGTCAACTGTTAATTCACTATCAAACGGATTTGGCCTGCCAGGAGCAGATTACGTGCAAAGCTAAAGCTTATGTTGAACATTCCGAGGATGGTACCAGCGAGGAGGTAGTCGATTTAACACCATTGATCAGTGCATCTGAAAACTATGAGGCGAAAATTGATTCCTCGCTTGTAACGGAAAAGCGAGTGGGCAAAACGACAAAGGTGATTTGCTTTTTTTCTGTTTGTTATTTTGTCCTTTGGTTACTGATTGTAATCATGTTGTTTATGTCGGTACTGTAGTAGTATTTTTTGTTCTTGTACGTTGATGATGATGATACTTATGTACGATTTTTGGTTTTTCAACATTTTTTTTCTTCTCGTTTTGACTTATTTCATTAACATGTTTATACGGCTGATGTTACTGCTGTTCGACAGTTTTATCTTAATGTTTGCCGTCCATTAGTACCAAAATTTGGCTTAGGTTGCCCTGGTGGTTCGGCTGGTTGTATGGCTGAAGTTGGTACATCGCCAACACCGGAAAAAGAAAAGGTATGTTGAAATTTGCATTCTATAATTTTATGGTATGTATGAATGAAAATTACAAAATTATATTTTGGAAATAAATTTATAATTGGATTTAAATTATTTTAAAATTTATATTAAAAATTGATGTCATAAAAAACTTGTACAATGTATTAGTTCGACAATAATATGTTGAAAACTATCTGTGTAAAATAAAGTGTAAAGCTATAAAGTTAAATTAAATCCTATGACATTCAACTTTTTAATTATAGTATGTTTAAGAACAACTCTCTATGAACTTTCTTAACAGCTTTACGCACCTAACTTAATCTAACTACTTGATTTAGCAGTTTTTGAGTATCTGCTAAATTGGCAATTAGAATTAACTTTATTTAAAAATGGAAACTAAACATAGCGCAGTGCAGATTTCTGAAAAAGTTCAAGTTCAAGAGGTCTCTTTTTTTGACATCAAGTCGAATATTCATACTATACCAAATCTGAAAGAGTTTCATAACTCTCTAGATCTTAAAGGTCAAAACAAGGTTGGTACAGATGTCTTGAAACTAGAAATTTATATAGAAACGCGCATATTTAAGGTATCACTTAGAATAGGGCTGTCCAGACCAGGTGCGATTGCGAGCGAATACAATAGTTTTCGACAATAATAAAAATTCGTTTATAATGTTAAATTTAGTTTTTTAATTTATTAATTTAACATCATTTATTTGGTATACTATAAAATTAAATAATATAGTTTTACCAGTACACGATTAAAAAATTTGAGTAATTGTAGATTAAAAACATGTCGCGGGCCGCATGTGGCAAGTGGGTCGTGCTTTGGACAGTCCTGACTTAGAATATCACATTTTGCAAGTGTTTTTTAGGCGGAAACGATAGCACCCAAAGTTGCCGCTGATATATGGCTCGTTCTATAAATAAAACGTATGAAACTGATATTAGATGCTTATTATTAAGAACTAGCTAATTATGCAGTGGTTTTTGTTATAGTTCTTCAATATTCTTTTTTTGAGGACATTGAAAAAGTACGACTATCAATTACTGATAACAAAACTGACTCAAAATCTTCAAAGTAAATTTATTGGTTAAAGTGATGCAGTAGTTAGGTTTTGTTTCAAGAATATGGTATATGTGCGATATAGTAGAAAAAACCTATCAGTAAGGAAAGAATATTTTATTACAAGACTTCTGGAATCTATATTCGTTCTCAATGGAGCCTGCCTCAGGTTTATACTAAAACCTGACCTTATCTAATCAAACATCTAAGCATTAGGAAGTGTGATTCGAATACTATGTATTTTGTTTGATTTTCATGGCATTATAAAATGATCTTCTTATAAAAAAAGTTATTTATAAAATGAATTACATTTTATTTGAAATTTAGGTATACTAAAAATATATGATACTTTATTATTCGGCAATAAATAATCATTTTAGTACTAATCATTTTAATACTTATATTACAATCACTTATTTTGTAATCATAAATCACAATACAATAATTGTTTTCATTAATTGATTAACCAGAAATTATTAATCTGATTATTCAAGCAATTAAATTTGAAGTTTTCGATTGAGTTTAGAATTCAATTACAGTAACAGCAACGTTGTCACTTATAACGTTACAGTTACATAAATTTAATTTAATTGTATCAAGACATTACATTTTCTACTAATAAAAGATACTTATGCAGATATCAAAGACCAATTACTGTATAAATTTCGTATTTCATAACTTGAATTGAAGTATTTTGATAGATTTAAAACATTAATTATATTGTCAACAAATCAAAGTGGAAGCATACTGTAAACTTCAATAATAAAGCAAGTGCAGGATAAGAGATACTTCAATCAATAACAAATTCATGTTTGAAGAAGGAATATACTTTAAAGGAATAAAAAATAAATATTGTTAAATATTTACATATAAGGAATTTTGTATGAAAAATAATAACAAATATTTTGCAATTTTCAATAATAGTTAGTTTGGAAGAATAGGAAGAATGATACATATGATATTCGATAGAAAATAGTTGTTTATAATACATACAAACATATATTCAATATTTAATTTTTTAATCAATTATAATTTTTTTCAGAAAAATATATTATTAAAATTCCGTTATTTAGAGCATCTCTATGCAATGTGTATGACTTCTATCATACATTCTTAAAATCTTATGTAGTATGAGATGTCCCTCAACCTTTAATACAAAACTAAAAGTATGATATTTTATAATTTTTTTGCAACAAATATAGACCTTTTCTTTTGTAAACACATTACAAAAGAACAACTGCTTATTTTAAAAATAACATATGAAACAGCAACACTGCTAGCTTATTTAGTCCAACCTTTTTTAAATCGCTTAACTAATAAGCAGCTGAAATGGTATGGTTGCCAAGATTAAAAATTCGTCTATTATGAACGATTTTTGGAAGTACTTACAAAATTTCCAGTTAACCGTCAACGAATGAGATATAGTTTTATATCCAAACTGGTGGGTTATTTGCATGGAATATATATGCAAGGAATATCTATAAATGCTTTGAGAATCGAAGATATTTTTTAAATACGGTTTGAAATGTTTAATACTATTATTGAGCTTTATGATTGTGATAGGACTTAAAGGAGTGTTTGAAATATATTTTTCTTTTCCCGGAGTTCAAGTTTTTCTATTTCTATGTAAATATATGTTCAAATATATGACTATAATAAATGCATGTTTATTATATGCATAATGCATATTTTTGATTTGCCTTTGTATTACCACTGCATTACAAACTGGGTAATGTCGAAGCAGTAGAGTGAAATAAAGTGTATTGCCTCGTTTGTGTCACAATATGTGACTTGCTCTATTCAAGCACTACACACTTGTTAGCATAGAAATTGCTTTCTTTTTAAGGGAAATGTTGTAAAGTAAGGAGTGATGTATGTTCTTATGTTAGCATATCAATAAAGTAAATATATTTTAAATCAAAGAAACAGTTGCTATGTGAAAAACTCTATTTATGTTACTAATAAATCTTTTTATATAACTTTAATAATACTTACAATTTTAAATGCATTGATTTCATTATAACTTAGAAATATATTTTTTATAATGTTAAAGAAGCTATTTTTAAAATTTAGAGGGTTTTCGATTAGCAAACAAAGAAAGCACAAATACAAAAATTTATTCAATTTTGCCAAGTACTCATCATCAGCAGTCTTACGAAATAAACGAATTTAATTAGTTTATAGTCTGTATATAATTTGTTTGGACTGCAAGTGCCAGGCTTAAAACTCATGCCTGTCAAATTAGAAATGCTTTTCTACAAGTAGCCAAGGCTGCATAAACTTTTAGTGCTCTAGTTTCAACTTTTTTTGTCACTTTTTTATTTAATTCTTGAAATACTTACCATATAGACTGAGTACATAAAAATTATTTAAAAAAACATATTTTCTTACAATGTAGTTAACTTGTAATTATTTGAACAACTTATTGCAGAGAAGTACCTATATCACTCGTTATTAATTTTTGGATAAATAAAAGTAAAGATCTTTGAACCTACTAAAATATTATTTTGAAAAAATATTTAAAAGGTGCATTGTATGTAAGAAATAGTGGAACCCATAAATATTTGTATATATATAAAATATAGAGTTCTTAAAATTTTTTTAATAGTAACTGTTTAACACTAAAGTAGTCTAAAATCAAACAGCAACTTTATTGTCTCTGGGATAGAAGTTATGAACTCTTGCGGTTATAATCTCAAAAAAAATACAAATTGATTGCTGTTTTCAAACTGAATCTTTATTTAATTTTCACTTAAAAGGTAACTTAAATTTTAACTTAAAATGTGCCTAATTGACAATTAATTAGTAATTAATTAAATAATAATTAATAAGCAAAATTATCGATCGCAATAAAATATTGCTGATTACATATTTTAATATTGATAATTACATTTATTGATTTTAATATTGCTGATTAATTTCATTCATTTAAATAATGCTGATTACATATTTTAATAATTACATTTATTGATTTTAATATTGCTGATTAATTTCATTCATTTAAATAATGCTGATTACATATTTTAATATTGATAATTACATTTATTGATTTTAATATTGCTGATTAAATTTGTTCAACTAAATAATGCTGATTACATATTATTACGTTGGTTACTGCTGTGTTAACTTAGATATGCGAAACTTCATAGCATTCTGCTATAAGTAGAAAATTAAGACTTTTAATATATCATCATTGCAAATAATAAATTATTTATTAATATATTCACAAACACAGTGGCGGAGCTAGACCAACTCTGGGCGTCAGCGACATCAGAATTATGAGGCCCCTTTTATTACCCAGTTATAAAAGTAAATAAGATACTTTCACAAATATATGACGAAGCATGTATTAAAGTTTAATTGCTGATCAAATTAAAATAAGCCCAAATCAAAATGAATGAACTTTCCTACTTTTAGTCTCATTAAATTTTTTTTTAAATTATATTATATTTGCACCAGCTCCTATTTTCGCTTCAGTTTATAGAATTGTCAATGGAGATAGTCTCTCTTTTCAAGTAGGTCTTAATCAATTTTAACTTTATGAAGCTTCTTTTCGTAGAAGCTATACTGACTGGAACTGTGAACGTGATTCTCGGTTCTACATAAATATTTGGTTATATTTCGTATATGTTTAATGCCATATATGAAACCATATTGTTCAAAATATTCATTAAGCGCTTTGACTCGAGAGTCGGTAACTTTTTGCACATAAGAGCATGTAAGTACTTAAGTCTCTAACACGAAAGTGTAGGTTCATATAAAAATTCAATTAATTAAATAATAAAATTCTTTATTGCTATTCATATCTTTCTATTTAATTTGAAAAATATTTATGATAAAAATTTTACATTTTAATTAATATACTCGTAGTATACAACTATTTGAGGTGTGAGGTTTTTACTTCCAGAAACTCTTGTAAATTTATTCTTGTTATATATTAATTTATAAGTTT